CAGTGCTAGTAAGGCTGTAGGGGAGCCCAGGAAACATGCCTGCTGGAAGGGAGACTATCCCCCACCTCATTCCACTGCCTTGGACTTAATCTGCTTGAGAAGAAGCAGGTTTTGTGTAGGTGAAGCTGTTTCTTGTTTGAAACATAAAACCTCAGCACATGCTGGCTGCCTTTGCTTGGCTGGTGAGTTGGAGTCTCATAAAACGCTGCGAGCAGCAGCGCTCTCTCTGAAGGGTGTGAAGAACCTAGGGGAGAGAAAAACCTTTCTTCTGAAGGGATGTGCTGCACTTGGGCCTCCCCCCCACCATCCAGAAAGGGATCTGGCTTTGTTCTGAAGTTGTGTTGGAGCACCACGAGCACTGCAGACAGGCCTATGCTAGAAGCCGTCCCCGGCTGCCAGCGATCAGTCGAGGAAAGGCAAACCCCTCCCTGGGCAGCCACCGCTTTCCACTTCCCACCAGAAGGATTTGCCTGGGGAGGTCGGTGTGCAGCTGGTGGATAACCTTGTGCCGCTTCTCCTGAGCATGTGTGCGCTGGTGGGGCTCTGGCTGGGAAGGTGGGAGCGGGCTCTTGCAGCCAGCGCGTTGTGGCCTGACTCTGGCCACCCCTTGGAGCGGTGTCCGAGAAGCTGACCCAACCAGGATGGGGCTGTGCAGGAAGCAGCTGCTCCACAGCGATCAACTCTCTCACCTCCTCTATGTGGTTTTCTTTTTTTCTTTTTTTAAATACTGTTTTCTGGCTTTTCAGCTTGAAGTTGGAATGTGACAAACTAGCCAGTGAGAAATCGGAAATGCAGCGTCACTACGTCATGGTAAGGACAGGCCGTGGCAGCCGGGAGCACGTGGGTGTCACGGTGGGGACTGTGGCGCTGAGCAGGTGATGGTGCCTGGCAGGAAGCCTTGAGCCCACGGAGCAGCGGGGCTCCAGGCAAGGCTGGCATTGGCTTTTCTGAAAAACGGGATTTTCTTATATTGCGTTGTGTGCATGTGGTGGATTGTTGTAACACGGGGAAGAATCTGAGAATTGTTGGCCGTGGAGAACTGATGGGCCCGGTGCTGACTGGGTGATGCTGGGCTCCTTGGCCTTGCCACCGACTGGCGGCTTGATCTGGGGCAGCGACAGCTCTGAGGTACTGAACAAGGAGCTGCAGGGAGCTGGTGTCTGGGGGCCTTGGGGGAGCCATGGCCAGTGAAAGACAAAGCAGTGCTCTGAGAAGTTGTGGAGCTGTGAAACCCCACGAGCCTGGTGGGCGTTGGAAGCAGAAGCAAGCTGCTGTGCAACTGCTAAACCCTCTGCACCTTCTCATCACCACAGCAGCTTTGCGGAGCCGCGATGATGATTGCTAGCACGTCTCACAAAGCAAAAAGTGCAAAGCCCGGGGCAGCACCTGGCAACGGCACGAGATCTGGTGCCACGTGTGGGTAGCAGGCTCGGCCCGAACTCTAAAGAGATATCTGCCAGGAAACAGCCACGTTCTTGTAGGCACGGTGGTGGTTTGCCTGCGAGGCAATGCCTCTGTCTTCCCATGTGCGGAAGAGCCCTTGTAGTGGAGGGGAGGGATGCCAGGCAAGGCTCTGGTCTGTTCCTTTGCTGTTGAGGAGTTAACTGGAGGTTGTGATACTGCCCATAAAGATGAGCTGGTCCCTGCTTGCCAGCTGCTGCACCTGGAAGGAAGAGATAAGACATAGAAATTAATGCAGCAGCTCTTCAGAGCAGAGTTAGGACTTTTAAACCAGAAATAAAGGAGCTGGCCCCCCGTCCTCAGGTTCTGCCTGTGTGTCCAGCCTCCAGGACTGTGGGGAGCAAAGTGTGCTTGGGGCTGGGGACAAGGAGAAGAGGTCACAGCTTTCCTTGTACGTTAATGGAGAAGCGTGCTCCGTTCTCACTAATAAATGATTGCTTCCTGGGCCTTGTAGCCTGCATGGAGACTCTAATCTCCAGGTGTGGCTGAGGTATATTTTTTTCTCTTACTGCTGACTGTCACCAGAAAGGATTCGGGTTACAATCAGCAGGTTGGCGGCAGAGGGGAAGGGCGATTGCTCGTTGTGCAGCACTGGAGGCTTTGCAGGCACAGCAGCTCCTGCCTTGTCTGCGTGGCTGAGCTGGAGTTGCACAGAGCTGCTGGCGCTTCCCACCACAGCGAGTCGCAGGAAGCAAAGAGGGTTTCTGTGAATGCAGAAAGCTGCTACAGCTGCTCTGATTTTTGAATAAGTGACAATTAGCAGCTAGGGGGTCAGATTCCTGCTTCCTGCTCAATCTCCAGAATGCAAAGAAGCCTCGAGAGCCAGCAGCAGTGTTAGAGCAGTCTGAGATGATGGCAATATCGAGCTGAGTGCTTCTCAGACTTGTGGTGTCGGTACCAAAACACCAGTGACCTTCTCTTTGAATTAAATGGGTGCAGATGCGGGTTTTTATTTCCCTTCAGAGGAATCGGGATTGCAGCCTGCAAGCTGAGGGAGGCGATTTCTAAGCTCTCAAACATTAGCCTCAACACAGCTTCTTCCAGGGGTCAGGAATTAGCTTCTCCTGCCAATAGTTTGCTCTGGAGCTGCCTGTTGCTGCTGTGTGGGGGGGTTTGGGTGGGTTTTTTTTCTGTTTGTTGGGTTTTTTTCTATATAGCTTCTTCCCAAACAGCTGGGTCTGTGTGCAGCTGGATGTGTTACTTGCTAGATGAAGCCCAGTTGTGATCTTTTCCATTTGCTGCTGAAGCAGCCACGTGGGCTTTAGGATATTGGCCAGGCAAAGCTTGTAGAGTCCGGCTGCCTCTCTTCTGGCTGTGGAGCCCTGAAGGTTTGAAGCAGCATCACTCACTCTTGCCTGGATGCAGACAGGTGAAAGGTATTGGTGAGGGATTGTGTGGGGCCGTCAGCAGGATCTCCATGTGCAGCAGCGTGAGGCTGGAGCAAGGTGGGCCGGGAGTGCTTGTGCTTGGTGCTTCTGCCTTCGACCTGGAGAGGGTCTCCCTGTTTGCCCCCTGCTGTCTTTGTTTCCTGGGGCTGGCCTCCTCTCTCCTTCCATCCTTTCCCAGCCTTTGTAGAAGACCTGCCAGGAAAGCAGTAGTAGTTTGCAGCACTGCTGTGTGGAGCTGCTTTACCTGGCAAAGACTTGACTTAGAATTTCTTTTGTTCTCTCCTGCTCTGCAGTATTACGAGATGTCCTACGGGCTGAATATTGAAATGCACAAACAGGTAGGGGAAAGGCATTTCCGAGTGCTCTAATTCCTGGGGAGGGTGGGTTGTCTGCCATGCTTTGCCCTCTGTCACTTCACTGGTATTTCAGGAACTAGAAATGCCATGAGCCTGTAAAATGTCAGAGCTGCCTTTGAAATGTGGGCCCGCCCCACCTGTCAGGATCGCAGTGCCAGACTGAGGGCTTACACCGTGGGCTGTGGGCCTGCTCTGGCTCTCCCCAGGGCCTGACCAGGTATTTAAGCACCTGAGAGGGCAGCGCAGGCAGGGTCTGGAGCTGTGGCTGAATTGGTCAGAAGGCGCAGGCCCTGGGTGGAGGGCAGGAGATCACTCCAGGTCCCTCCCACCATTCTCTCAGGCCCTGGATGGGTTCCTGTCTCTGCTATCTTGGCCAGTGCACAGGAAGGCTTGTTGTGATCACCTCAACATGAAAAACAACTCTGGCTTCACCTGGGCTCTTGCTGCAGTGAGGCCAGAGAGCACTTCTCTTGGGCTGTAACTAGGTAGCATGATGGCAGACCTTCTAAGGAAGCCTCCTTGCGATGGAGACTGTCCTGCAGCCTGGATAAGTTTGTTCATTACCCTCACTGGTGGATAAGTTGTTAATTATCCCCAGTGACTAATTAGCTGTGCTGTTAACAACGTGAGCCTCCTCTGAGCCTGGCTCTATCTGGCTTCAGCTTCCAGCGACAGTCGTCTGCATGTTGTGGCTCAGTTATAAGCCTCTTAGCACAATTCTGCTCCTCACAAAGGCACTTGGTGTCTCTGATCCCATCGCCCTCATTGGTAAGCCCACAAGACTGGCTTCTCTGGGAAAACCTGTATCTGTGTAAAGGATTTGAGCCACGAGTTCTCACTGCTGTCCCATGAATGGTCTCCCAGCCTAGTCCGCTCCCCATGGTGCTGGTGGGCCCCTTCAGCTGGTTTCCCTGCATGCCCGAACCCTCGGCTCTGTATTTCTTTTGACTCCATTGGAAAGTGATTTGCAAAGGGCTGGTAGCTTTACTCTTTTCCAGGAGGAAAGCATTTAACGAAATTTGCCACTTGCTTGTATGAGGCTACTGAATCATAAGATGGTTTGAGTGGAAGAGACCTCAAAGATAATCTTGATCTAACCTCCCTGCTATAGGCAAGGACACCTTCCCCTAGACCAGGTTGCTGAAAGCCCTGTCCAGTCTGGCCTTGAACACTTCCAGGGAGGAAGATGTCCACTTCTCTGGGGAACCTGTTCCTCCTCCTCAAAAACCTCACAGTGAAGAAGCTGCCCAGTCCCTGTGGTCTCCCTGAAGAGCCCCTGTCCTGCAGCTCAGCCCTGGGGAGGCTGGCAATGGGCAAATGCTTGCCTTTGGAGAGCAGGCGTCTGAAGGGCTGAGCAGCCGGTCTCTGGAGGCTGATGCCTTTCCTCTCTCTTCTTCCCACCTTCCAGGCTGAAATCGTCAAAAGGCTAAATGGGATTTGTGCACAGGTTCTGCCCTACCTTTCACAAGAGGTGAGTCTCCTTGCTCAGCCTTGGCTCTGGCATTGAATGGAGGTACAGCAGCCCTCCTGCACGGGCAGCTCCTCGCCCCTGCTCTGGGAAAGCTCACCGCTTGCTCTCAGCGCCTGCTCGGGGACCAGCCCTTCAAGACACATTTGGCCTGGAGGCCCCCCCAGGTGCTGGGGGGGCTGATGTGCCCGTACATCCCCCTTGTTGATGGCTGTGGACAAAAAGGGACTCTGTTCAATCCTGCCCACGATTCCTGAGTCATTGGCCACTTCTGCATGGGCAGCTAACTGGGGGAGGGGATGTTTAAAAAAATACCTCCAATATGGCTCCTCCTTGAGATGCGGTTCCTCTGCCTCATTAATTGATGAAGCCAATGGGCTCTTCCCACTCCCCTGAAAAATTAATTGGGAGGGCTTAGGAGTGGCTGCCTGAGGCAGGACAAAAATGAACCACCTCCAGTGCCGTACCTCTCCATCTCCCCAAACAGCCCCACAGAGACTAAACTCCGTGGCCGTTCTCATGGCTGGTCGTTTGGTCCGGACTAGCTGTGGGATGGAGGCTGTGGTTCCTCGTCTGTGTTAGTTGTAGGGTTGATGGACAGGCTGTGTTTTTCCCACCCACCTGTTCTTGGGGAAGATAAAGTGGCTGCTGAGCAGATCAGAGCTGCCTAATAACTAAGCCGTAGCTAAATCTTTTGCATCTTAATGCATCCCCTTCCCCCTCCTTAACCCTGTCCTGCTGCCAGGATGGAAAGAAAAAACTCACTTGCTGGAGTGCAGTGGACAGGCCTGGTGTTGGAAAACCTCGTGCTCTCAGAAGGAGCAATGTCTCTAGCTGTAGGGTTCACCAGCTTGCCTCTGTGCCCTGACATCTCAGTGCTGGCAGTTGAGGTAATGGCTGGGTCCTTATTCTCCTTCCCACTGATACTAGAAGTGACCCTGAATTCTTCTGTTTTCTGCACACCAGCATCAGCAGCAAGTCCTGGGAGCTATCGAACGAGCCAAGCAGGTTACGGCGCCAGAACTGAACTCCATCATCCGTGTACGTGGTACATGTTTAGTTTGTGTTTGGAGGGATGAGGATCTGCCTTTTGCCTTCAAGGCAGAGCTGAGCAGCAGTCATGACCTGGGGATGTGCCCCATGTGCCGGGAGCTGGGCTGGCAGGGAGCTGCTTTTGTCCAGACTTGTCGTGACGTGGGCGCAGGTTTGCAGGGGAGTACAGATTCCTCTGTCCCATGCTCCATCCCAGCAGGGTGCAAGGAGAGGAGCTTTAGTTTTGAGCAGGAACTGCAGCAGCTCCTTGACATGAAAACACCACCTGTTCTTGGTCAAGGTCAGGAGGGCTTTAGCCGCATCCTTGGAGCATGCCAGAGTCTGAGGCCAGATGTCGTGTGGGCCAGGGGCTGCGTTTTGTGCTGAGAACACACTGCTGAGTCTTCGCTTGAGGCTGTCACAGCCCGGAGACTAGAATTATTCTTTTTTTCTCCCCTCATCCTGGGGCTGCAGTGCTCTCCAGGACCCTAGCGTCCCTGGTTTAAGCTTGGCTGCTGGCACACACTGTGTGGGCAGCCCAGGCCCTTGGGCTGGGGTCCAAGTGCACTCAAAATGACAATATCTCTCTCCTGTCTTCCTGTCTGTCCATCATTCTCTACAGCAGCAGCTTCAAGCTCACCAGCTCTCGCAGCTCCAAGCCCTCGCTCTGCCTCTGACTCCGCTCCCCGTGGGCCTCCAGCCCCCGTCCCTCCCTGCTGTCAGTGCCGGCACCGGGCTGCTCTCGCTCTCAGCCCTGGGCTCTCAGGCTCACCTCTCCAAGGAGGACAAGAACGGCCACGACGGGGATGCCCACC